TCATTGTTTGCGCAGACACTGTAAACAATGAACGTACACGTGAAAGACGTCGGATTACATGTTAATAACAGCTTTATTGAAAGTGTTGCACCAGGAAATCACACAAGGCGACTGTAGTATTTATTGTTCACAGTTGACTTTTGTATTATACGGAACACAGCCAGACATGCATACAAACTTTGGGGGACACACAGTAGGTTCGGATAACCGAACATTTCGGATATCGTCCTTCGGATAATCGACGTTCTACTGTAAGTTAAAATCAAGTTCTTCGACATGGGTCCCATGTTACATGTATACACTTGCTGTAAACAATGTACTTTATTTACACAAAATTCAAACATATATTTTGAGGGTTGAAACCTTTGTGTATTGCCATCATCAGTTTTCATAAATCAATAACCTTTCAATTATTCTTGAATAATCGATCAACTTTATTAATCTTTAGTCTCTAAAACACTGCAGTAAGTTTAGAGTGGAATAATTAAAAACTAGTTACCATGGCAACATGTATGTCGATGTGCATTTGCATCCTCGTTTGAAAAAGGATAGTTTCCGGTTGTGGAAATGTCAAGTGTGGTTGTAAGACTACCCACTGGGTTTTATTACCTTCAGCATGTGCACTGTAAACTGTATGCTAACCTAGGGGGTACTGTCATGTGACAACACATTTTCTTCTTGTAAAAAGTAATTTCCCAGACCTTATTGGACATTAACATTTCATTTAATACCTTCAATATCTATGTCAATACCTTCATACAATGTACCTTTCATGTTACTGCCTACAATTCTGAGCGAAGTTCTGTTTAATCAAAAGTACTGTACATTGCTGTCCGAGTTGGCTTAACAATGACAATACACCTTACTTCCCCATTATGAATCAGGCTATTTGCATTTTATTTGTCTAGACTGCTATTTTAATTCTTCTAATTCAGTTTTCTCTTGGCATGACGATTTCCTTTTAGCTAGCATGTTATTTTAGCTACTGTGAATTACTTTATTTTAGCTGGAATTAATTTTCACTGAAAGGACTTTTTGAGTATTTTATATGGAATTTATTTTTACCAAGTTGAATGTAAAATATAGGAAAAAAAGTATATTCGTTGGATTTATTTTCACTATCATTCCTTCAGTGAAAATTAATTCCAAGCGAAAATAAAGTATTTTACAGTAAACTGTAAATTAAAAAATTTAAAATGTAGCTAATTTAAAAGAAAGTATAATCTCACAGTAAGATTGTTGGCACTTTAAAATTTAAATTCTGATAATTTGTGTATTGGGCCAAATTTGACAAGATTTCGTGGAGTCAGTGTTCTCCACAGGATGCAACTTGTTTTACTGCCAAATTGGTCTGACTCTGCCATAATCATCATGTCCCACAGTGGTTTATTTCCACTGTGCTATTGCTGACCTTTTAACTTCAAATTGATAAATGGTCAAAAATGCGAAAAAATTCTTGTGTAGTTTTATCACTCTTGATGCAGTAAGAGTTTTTTTAAGTGAAAAATATGATCATCACTATTTTTGTGAGGAATAATTATGCAAATTAGTATGTATATTTGTCAACACCACAGTCATGTAAATTTCTATTCTGAACACTGAACATTCTGAGAGTCCATGCTGAAACAACAGTTTTGGGCATACATGTACATCTCTGTTGGACTGTCCAATAGGGCTAGAACTATTAATTAACTGCCTTGCCTTTTAAAAAACGTACATGTTGTCTGTGTTCACACCATATCTTTATCTGTTTTACTGGGTTATGTACAGTGTCACCATTCATTAGGATTCTAATAAATACATACATGTGTATATACTATAAATAGATAATCAACATTGTAATTTAGACTCTGTTACAGTCTCTTGCCGCTTCATTACTTTGAATTAGCATCAGGGGCCCAAAGCACCTTACAAACTGCTTGCGGGAGAGTGACTGGGGAGTCTGGGTCATAGTGCTGTGTCTGTCAATCATAGTGAGATGTGAAGATAAATTTTCCCAAATACAGTGTAACAAACATCGTCCTGAATATATTCAATCTCATGTCCACAGTTGATTCTTTTCTTTTGTTCATTCACATGTTTCACCCTGCACTATTAAACAACAGCTTTCATCAACGTGTTTTATTTAGTGATTATTGTCACTACACTTTTTAACAAGTACACATCAAGTGCTTGATATACAGCTGTTATACTCACCGCTGCCAAGTTTCTCCAACCTGTCTTTCTGTGTATAATGATAACAAGTACTGTTGAGAGCGGTACACATGCATGTGTATAAAACAATGTATACCGGTAACGTGATTTCAACCACTCTCCCTGGTACGGATTGCTACAATGGTTTCATTGTCGATGACGCTAAAGCCGAACGAGTGCGACACTTGCTTCGCGGCTCTCAGTAAGATTTGCTTGAATCGTTTCTAAGGAAGTCAACTGTTAATACAACGAACAAAAAATAGGTTTTTTTTATTTTTTTTATTACAAGTATAGAAAAAGACCCCCTTGGCGTATGCCCGGACATGCCCTCAATCTCTTTATTGTATCAAAAAGGCGGGAATGGGCGTTTGCCCAGGCATGGGAGCTTACCCAGATAAATACGGTACATGGACAGGATCTGGCAATTGAGTCTACATTATCATTGTGTATACCATAACAGGGTGTTTGTTATTTTTTGAAAATAAATCTTTGATCATCCCTTCAAGTAATAGACCAAATGAATGAGCCCCAATAATGTCATCAAGGCACTTTGTGGATTTAATCTCATAATAATTCCCTATTTTGCCATACTGTTTTTTAACTTCAATGCAACTGCCTGAATTCTTTTTTTTTTGTGGGTAAATTATTGAGAATATCTCATTGGTGTATGGTACCCGAAAAAGTACCAGGATTTGTGACATTTCTCTATAATAAATACATTCATCATTCTAAATTTTGTGAGAGCACATTTTTGAGAATTCCACAAGTACTGGAAAGTCAATGTACCAGAGAGGTTGTCACTGTTCTCAGGTCATGTGACACATTTGTATCATACATTTGATACCACACTTAAATCTTGTGAATTTCGGGCAGTAAAAATTGACAGTAGGACCAAGGAAAAAAATTAAAAACTTTCTGATTAATTTGTTTACCCAAATCAATGTGCACAACTTTTAATCTTAAAAACTGTCATAAATTTGAACATTAATTTTTTTTTATTTTTCTAAAAGAAAAAAACAAAGTAAATTAAAAAAATAAAGCTGTTTCACACACTGATGCACACGAAGACTATAAAAATGTATATTATTTTCTTTCTGTCATAATGTAGTCATTTGTGCGTACAAGGTACATCCATTATGGAAATGCTATGTGTGAACAAAAGGTGTATACCGGTATTCTCTATACGAACAATATTTTACTAATAGTAACTTCCAACAATTTTGTTGTTTTCCAGAGAGCAGATTCTCCGAGTGAAAAATGACAAAAATGATAGGATACCCTTTGTTTTAGTTGGAAACAAGTCAGATTTGGAAGAAAGGCGACAAGTTAGTATAGAAGAAGCACAAGCAAAGGCTGCTGACTGGAATGTGACGTACGTTGAGACGTCAGCGAAAACTAGGGCAAATGTTGATAAGGTGAGTGTGTCGTTCTCTACATTTTGTATGTAGACTAAAATCTGTGCAATATTCTCCTCACTATAGGGCACTCCCTAACGTCAAGAATCTGTGCAATATTCTCCTCACTATAGACTACTCCTCTAACGTCAAGAATCTGCAATATTCTCTTCGCTATAGGCCACTCCTCTAACGTCAAGAATCTGTGCAATATTCTCCTCACTATAGGGCACTCCACTAAAACATCAAGAATCTGTGCAATATTCTCCTCGCTATAGGGCACTCCACTAACGTCAAGAATCTGTGCAATATTCTCCTCGCTATAGACTACTCCACTAACAT